TTAGTTTTTCGTAATTAATTAAAAACATTTGCCAACTTTAAATACTTAAAATTTATAAATGAATTTTAAATGATTAGAAAGATTTGAAAAGAATCCTGAAAATTAGAAAAAATTAAGACAGTCTAATATCAGATTATAATCAGATAAAATAGTATCGTTTTCCTCGAATTTAAATGGATTTATAATCGTTTTTTTTGTGTGTGGATAATATTCCTTTGAAGTTATGTGAAAACGATATCTGTACTAAGCATAAAAACAATCAAAATTTTTCATTAGATTATCAATCCATCCCATAGTCGGATTCAATTCATATGCCCACAGGGCGCCCTGTCCTGTCCCGTTCTGCCCTGCCCTGCCCTGTCCTGCCCTGTCCTGCCCCGTCCTGCCCTCAGGGCAGGTCAGGGCAAAAGAAAATAATATGTGCTATTATCAGGGCAGGACAGGGCAAGATGTGACAGGACAACAGGGCAGGGCAGGGCCGAAAAAAGTGCCCTGTGACGGTCTCTGGTTGATATTGACCATAGAAATGTGATAATTCTAACTAATGCTGAAGGCAAGAAGTAATATATCAACTAATATTTATTGAAAGAAAGTTTTCTGAAAAGTTGTTTTTTTTTCTAAAGACAACCATATACCATTAATTATTTCTTTTGAAAAGAGTCGAAGTTAATAATTGACTCTTCACTACAACATCTTACGATTTATATTCTATATTTTCAAAATATTTAGATTAAACCCTTTTAAGTAAATCTACTGAATCATTTTGTATAATAAACAAATAATTTCCATCAATATACAATATTCTAGAAAATATCTAAATAACTTATTCTTCATTTGCATTGTTAAATTTGTGCACCTTTGAATTATTTTTAATGGTGACTCCAGACTACTATCGAAGTGAAATATAATTCCTTGACTATAATTAGAATCATCAAAACAAAGAAATATCTTATTCTTTCACAAATATTCATTTTCAAATGCTGTTCGTTCTTTAGTGAAAATAATCTGACTTTTGTATTCATTGTTTCTTCTAAATGAACGTCAATCATCTTTATTTTTGTTTCTTTTCTTTTTTATATCTATTATGAATCGTTTTGATCGTGTAGAGTTAATTTCCTGTAGAATATGATGAAATGATCTACTGACGCTTTGAGAATACTAATTTTTCATAGCTTCTAATTCTATATTTTTCATACATTATTTTCTCAAAACATTGGATATTTCATTCAGTTCGCTTTTTCTCGTTTACATCAAATTTTCTATTTTAATAACAATGTTGAATACTCAAATAAGCATAATCATGTGTTTATGTGATTCTATCCAAGTTAAATTAACAAAAGTTCTTTTTGCTTCTCAAAAATTAGCATTTATCATTATTCTGTATGCTGCAAAGTCAATACGAAACAAAGAAGAACAAGTTCAGATTCTCGTACACGTAATAAAGAAAACTCTAGAGATCGTTCAGATGAGTTTCAACTATTGGTCATTGATCACATCTAATCTTAAATGATTTTTAAAAACAATTTCATTAACTAGTATTCTAAAGAAAGATTTTCAAGAGAAGTCTTTATCGAACATACTAACGTTTTCAATGGATACATAAAAATCGCATACAACACTTGATAATATCTTGGTTTTTACATTTGAAAGTTCTCATACAGAATAAACAATTCAAAAGGTCAATATAATCCGATGTTCTTGTTGAACTATATTGCATTTCTAAAAATTTTTTCGACGTCATGATAAGAAAAAAGAACATTAAATTAAAAAACTAAGATAGATCTTTTATCCTTTCATATATGAAAGTACGTCTGAGGAAAAACAAATTACATAGAGAAACCATGACATAAAGTATTTTGGATTACAAAAATTTATTAAAGATTTTATAAAATTAAATTTGGTGTTAAAATCTTCTTAAGTAATATTCAAAACCTATTATAAAAAACATTCTTATGAAAGATTAGTTCTTCTTAAATAATTGTGTATTCGTATTTTACAATATAAATAAATCTATATTAAAAACTTTTGTTTACACAGAACTAAAAACAATGAAATAATCAAAATAATTATTTCAAGAACTTGTTTTTTTGATCACCATGAGCCGTCACATCTGTCAAGATCTTAGCGAAAGAGTCGTCCAAACAAGGACGTTGACCCATTCATTTTTTTAGAAAAGTGAGACACGTATTAATTATATTAAACATCAATTCATTTTTTTCAAAATTCTGAATTTTATAATAACATATAAAAGTCATATTTGCTATGAAAATTATATATTTGAAGATCTTTTTTTAAATGCCAAAAGAACATTTTAAGATCATTTATTCACTAAGTTGGACTTCATGGTAATATATATATTTACAAAATACAGTCATGCAGCTGTATCTTATATATATATGTCCTACGTAAATCAATGAAATATTAAGAGAAAAATTTTAGTATTATAAAATAATATAATATTTGAAATGAATTCAACATAAAATTCTAATAAAAAAAATATTCCCTTGCTACAAATTAATAACTAAAGCTTTTTAAACTTCTTTTCATCTTTGTTCAATAATTATAATCATTATCATAAAAAAAATTTGATTATGTATTTTTCACGATGTATTTTTCTTTCTACAACGATACTGGAATATTATCATTGGTATTGACATTCGTTTTATTCAGAGCTGCCAAATCCAAATGTAAAAAAACCAGTAGATCTTTATGAAACTGCAGTAACTATTTGACTGACTTGTTTCGAATTAAACTGAAGTTTTCGTTCAGATAACTATCTGTTTCTTTCTACTGTTAAGTTAGTTATGACAAGACTATCCTCTAAGTGATATATAACGAAGAGAAAGAAAGATAATTTATGCATTTTCCCCCAAAATGAACAAGCTAACGGATTCGATAACCATTCTTTTTTAACGTTCACAAATACAGTATAGTTACTTTCATGCATGATCATAAAGCAGGTGTCGATTTGAATTTTTTTCCAGTGAAAAAGAATCAGTATTTTTATCTGATATGGTAAAGTTTGTCACAAAAACTTTTCTTCAATAAATCTTAGATTTCAGTGTTCTTATCTTCTTGCAACGTATGTATTAGATAAGTATACAGTCGGTTCTTTATTTTTATTCACAGTTACACAAGTCTTTGCCATAGCATTTGTTTATGAAATTGATCATCTCAATTTTGCAGAACTCAAGCAGAAACAAGGTGTTTTCTTATCGGCTATTGTATCTATGAAATAGTGTGATAGTTGTTTTTTTTTTGTTTTATTGATTCAATATATCACGGAAACTCAGAGTAATGAAACCTTTAAAAACCAGGAGAAAGTCTAAAAAACCAGCTTTTGATTCCAGGAGATTTTTTCATCAGGAGAAAAGTCTAAAAACCAGGAGTCTCTTGGCTAAATCAGGAGAATTGGCAGCCCTGTTTTTATTCTATGATGTCAAAATTTTTTACATAAGTTCAAGCAGTAAAAACTTCATAGACATTTGTTTATGATCTTATTCTCGAGAATATATTTTTGTAAAGGCTGTTCGAGTATAAATTTATAGTATTCTCTGTAAATGTCTATTATATCTATCTATATATGTAATTACGTCGATGGTTTGTTTGAGAACAGAGAAAAGCAATAAGGGTCAAACAGTGTAGTTGTTTTGTTGCTGTTCTTTCCACGTCACAGTGTTGTCTTCATGGAGATCGATTGTATTACGTGCCAATAGGGTGTAGCTAGACTTTGTCTCTAAATAACTTATCAACATTCATCGACTCATTTTTTTTTCCAGCAAAATCGTTTTTTTTTGGTTTATTATAAAATCCCATAAGTTATTTTTTTTTCGAAATTTTTCGTATTAGATAATTAAATTTTGTTTATTTTATTTTTTCGAGATGTTAAGTATAGAATTGATGTACGTAAGTATTGAGAGGAAAAATAATACGAAATATTTTCATGTATATATTTCTTTTTTGCATGCCAATAGATTAATCTATAGATGATTAATTGAAATTATAATTTCTGAACAATTTATAAATTTTGTCTTTCATTGAAAGAACTAAATAGTATTAGAGTAAATTGATTGCACTCTATGCACACGATAGAAGGGTGCTCAGTCAAACAAACTTTCTTTTCTGTTCTATCAAAAACTATTCGTCATCGCCAATGGAAAACAAGCAAAAGAAAAAAAGACGAACGGGCCATGCAGTGCATTTGTCCGTTCTCTCCCCTGCTCGTTTTTTCATCTTACCATATGATGTACGCTAACACATTCATTTTTATATAACTGCGTGACAAGTTTAGTAGAGCTGTGTTCGACTGAATGAAAGACTATCATTGATAAATCTATCTCTAACATGAATTAGAGAGATACGATAGACTTAACATATCTTTTTCTCAAGAGTGACTGTAATCTATGTTGTTTTTTTCTTCATGATAAAATGTTAAATTAATCGTTTTCAAATAAATTTATAGGTGTTTTATTAATAAATTATTCATTTATGAGCCATTAAAGTAAGCTATTGATTTAGTACAGTTAGATGATTTGTTCGATGATATATACGAATCAATTCATCCCAAATATCTATGTTTTATTCTTCTTTTTCTTTATAGCTTTTTTTATTTAATATTAAAACATATCTTATCGACAGAGACTACTTTAAAATTTTTTACTGAGCCAAACCATCCATTTTTACAGGCAGATGTTTTCTCAGCTGTTAAATTAAGAATTTATTTATCGCTATCATATAATGCGTAAGCATCTCATGAACCAAAGATAAATCGTCAAGGTAAAAACATTGAATAAAAGCACTTTTTTTCTTTCTTGTTCTCTACGTAGTGTTCTTTGGACTCTCAATGTATTTCGCTTCGTCTTAATAATGCATGCAACCTATTACAGTGAGAACAACATATAGGCTAAGAAACATTTTTCTCGTTCTGCAGTCTCTTCTGTTACTTAAACTTGTGTATAAAAAGCTTGCATATATTGTTAGATACTATAATAATAACCCACATGTCGAATAGACGAACCAAACATACAGAGAATAATTTACCAGCTGAAACCAATGAACAACTTTCAAGGAAGCGTTCATTATCAATTCATGCATCACAACAGACTAACAAGAAAACTTCTGCATTAACTTCCAAACGTTACAAAACACTTTTAACATGTGTTGTTTGCAGCGGTGATGCGCATGGTAAACAAAAAATATTATATTAAAATCATATTTTTTGTTTTTCAATTATTTTCTTTAGGTTACAATTTTGATGCTATATCATGTGAATCGTGTAAAGCATTTTTTCGTCGAAATGCATTACGACCATTGGTAAGTCTTATTTCTATTTTTCTAGAAATTTTCTTTTCAGTTCTAATGTTTTTAATAATTTAGGAAAAATTAAAATGTCGTGGTAATGGTGGTTGTGATGTTTCATTTAATATAAGAAAACGATGTAAACGGTGCCGTCTTGAAAAATGTCTTCAGACAGGTTAGATATAATTAAATTTATATATTATCTAGTTTCATTATTTTTTTTTAGGCATGCGAAAAGAATGGATCCTTTCGGATAAAGAGTAAGTGTTATGTTGATCTTAGTGATTGGTAAGATTAGTATAGAGTCTATTTTGAAATCGTCTACTATACTTATATGATACATACCAATATAGCTTAAGGCGAATAGAAAATTTTTTTTGTCATCAGATGTTTCAAGATAGCATTAAGTAAAATTCTTTAAAGTAGAGTTCATGTAAACTAAATAGCTTCTATTACTAAATAATAGTATTTCTGCCATCATATAATATTCATACTTATGACATCGTATTTCGTTTTTCGTAATTTAAAAAAACAATTTGAAGTCTTTCAGTTTTTGTGTTCATCTTATTTTAAATATCTCGCATTAAAATTTCGACTTTTGTAAAATTACACAATGCACTTGCTTATCATATGTTAAAGCATTTTAACTGAACTTTGAACACATACGTCTATTCATGAGTACAAAAACTACGTTATCATAAGGCAAGATAAGATAGAAAAAATACGTCTAAAAACCAATAACATTCTTGGTAATGGGTATAATAATTTGGTAGTTGTTAAAATAATGACGTTACTAAATTAATTTCTTATAGAACAACTATTATAAGTTTTTCACGTTAAACTATCAACACCTATCCTTTACTGTCGAATATTTTTATTTTCAATTAAAATCATTTCACACAGATCGAGTTTTATGTTTGTTTAATGTAGCACCTTAAATCCAAGCCTTTGCCCAATAAAAATATAAACGATCTATATTCTACATTATCCCCTTAGAGTAAAACATAATCATTATTGTAATAATAGCATAGATGACAACAAAATTTGTTTCTAAATAAGTAAGAGATTATCTTGGTCAGTGTAATATTTCAGGCAGTATCTAAATATAAGGACTTAGATGATAAAAAAAAACATGACGTAGTTATACTTGATGAGGATAAAACTAAAGACGCTAAATTGGCATTAAGATAAAAGTAAATATATTATCATGCGTACAGACGTGATTTTAGGGAGACAAGAAACTATATTTCTAGTTATATTAGTATTTTTTGAAGAATTCATTGAAAGGTATTTTAAGAATTCTCTAAGTCTCTATTTATGATATTCGAAAAAGAAGTTTATAAGAAATTTATTTTACATATAAGTAATCATTTTTATGTTTAGAAAAGCAGAAAAACGTGCTAAAATTGAAGAAAATCGTCTTCTTAAACAAATTAATGATAATGAGCAAGAATTACGTCAACTTACAAAACGAGATGTAAGTTTAAAAATAAATGAAGAAATTTTTGAATTTATTTCACTCTATTTTTTAGTCAAAAACAGACGATGATTTATCTCTAGATTTGTCTCCACTTCTTAATCAATCAATTTTAAATGATTTCGATTGGTTTACTATACAATTTGTACAAGATTGTTTTATTGAGTCTGTACAATTAAATCAAATAGCTGGTATATCATGTTATCCATCAACACAACCAATTGAATCAACAATAGAATTATTTCGTGTACCACTTTATATAACGTCAATGCGTCTTATAACATAAATAAAACAATTAAATGAATTTCAACAATTAGATAAAGATGATCAAGTTTATCTTGTTAAATTAAATTTATTAACAGTTTGTTTTCTTCATTCAGCATTTATATATGATCCAAGAACAGATTGTTATCATGAACAAGATACAATTGATCCATTATTTTCAGGAAAAGATTGGATTAAAACATTAAATAAACAATTTCATAATGAAATGAAACAAATACGAAATGATTTAATTGATATATTTCAATCTGATGATATTATTATCAAATTATTTTATTTAATATTAATTTTTTCAAATCAAATATCATTAAATCAAGCAACTCAATGTTTATTAACACCAAATATTAATACATTAAGTATGTTCAAAGCACAAAATATATTTGCTGATTTAGTTTATAGATATTGTTTACATCAATATGGCTCTAATCAAGCACCTACATTATTTTTACGATATATTCATAAATTAATGAAAGTTCAACAATTAGTTGATGCAGTCAAATATACAATAAATGATTATATTGATATAGCAGAACTATCGCCATTAATGCAAAGTCTTCTTATGTGACTTGTAAATAAGACAAAAAATTATCTTGTTTTCATGTGTTTATCACTTATTGTTATTCAAGCGGTGACATATGTGAAAAACATTTCTATGTTAAATTCTATTATAGTAGTATTTGAATTTTACATATTTTTAGTTCTTTTTTTGTGTGTAATATACTTAAGTATACATAGTATACAGTGTTCAATATGTATTTCATCTGAGACAAAAACATTCTCTTGCATTTGTTACTCAACATTAGTAGCAAGAGAAGAAAATTTTTGGAGAAAAGAAAACAAGAATATCATTATGTATCTGTGTTAGTTACATATTAAAGTTTATTTTACAAATACCTATAATAAAATAATTGTACAGAATACGGATCGATGTTTCTATGTGAATGAACAACAATTTAATATTCGACAATACTCAAGAAATTTGAGACACGTTGAGATGATTTATTATAGAGATAAATACATCACATGATGATCCATAAAGCACTCATCCGTAAAGAACGTCCAGATAAAAATCGCATTTTTGATCCCTTCTCCCCCTAGACGTCCAATATAAAGAAAAACAGCTTTCTAGAAAGAACCTGCTTATTCAAATACAGTGCTTCTTTTTTTCCTTTAAATAGTATATTAAAAATAGAAATGAAAACATAAATTTCATAAATAACAAACAAAAACCTAACCTACTACTAGGTTTTCCTGTTTTTCAATACACTAGTGGACAAAAATCTCCTTTTTAGTAGCACTGTCCATAAGACTAATAGAAATAAGCAGCACTAGCTATGACGAACTTGAGAAAAGAAGTGCTTGTGAGATAGTAATATTCGTTTTATTTGGATTCTTTTCATAACAAATGGTATCATTGACACACAGAACATACGTTTATATAGGGTAGATAGACAATAAACGTTAGTCAAGCGTAACGGTTACACAACTATACAACGGTCACAAGATCAATAAAAAGAAAGAGATAGATGAAGATGATACATTTCGTTACACTAGACATCTTCTGACCAGGATCACTACCCAAGTCAATCATTTTGGCTCTTGAATCCATGGGTTTCCAGCGAAAACTCGCCATAAAATACACTATTTTCTACCGAAAAGCTTGGGAAAATGCTAAGAACTTCGAAGCAGAAATCCAGTGATTGGATTCGATGGCTAGAGTTTTTCAGTTTCGGTCGGAGACGACTGTAACCCGGCAAAATCCTCCACGAGATCTGATCATCGAATTCCTAATTCTAAGTTCCTAAGACTTTTCTGAGTTTTCCGACCGGAAGTAGCCCGTATTTCTTGACCTGGATGCTCATTCTCTAGGCATTGCTGTTAATCGTTAGCTCTAATATATCCCTGACATATGGCTTTATCAGTGCATCAGTCGTACAAAATTATGCGTAGAGCGTTCACAAAGTTCTGGGAACATTGGTCTAAGACTTTATGCTGATAATTTTGAATCTCAATATGAGATTTTTCTAGTAGCTGCAAAACTTATGTAGTACACTATGAATGGAAACCTTTCGAACTCTCTACTATCTCTAATGACCAGTTACTTTTTCTTGCGCTGACGTTTTCAGACGGATAAGCAGTACATTCACTACTGCATAAAAACTCACCCAGTATTGGGTTTAATTGCTATTGAAATCCATGACAAAATCACCACTGCTTACGATCAAGATGATGTACCGTTACGATCGTTGCTTGCTGTGTTCATGATCTTTCGATTGCACAAGGAATCGATGGAAGATTATCGTCGCAGTGGCCATCCAATCACTATCGTCACTTAAAAAAGAACATCAACGTTTTTCAAAATCTAGTTAATAATTATTCACATATGAGTATTGACTTTATTGCCAATGTGTTGGATATGTGCCATGGCAGTGTGAGTAATATATTGAAACAAAATCTACCCTTAAGAAGGATGTCGTCAAGATGAGTGCCCCATGAAATAGCACAAGAACAACGACAACGATGTGTGAACATTTGTGCCAAAAATTTTGAGACTTTTGGAAGTGATGATTGATGGTTATGTGAGATTATCACCGGCGATGAGATTTGAACTTACCATTGCAAGATTGAATCAAAAGAACAATCAAAGTTATAAGTAGCAGAAGGTAAAAGTGCTCGAACCGTCGCCAAAAGACAACTATCTGAGAAAAAATGTGTTGCCTTCTTTATGACAAATGAATCCTTATTTATCCATGGAGTCCTTTCTGGAGTATCTATTGATGCTACCCATTATCGTGACAAATGCTTAAAACTTTTAGTTAAAAAGCTATCGAAGAACAGATCATCATCAGGAATAATTGGTATCAAGTTCCAGCATGCCGATGCAAGGTCAAATGTGAAAGATATTATTATCAATTGTCTTCAAGAAGAAAATAGTCAAAGTTATGTCATATCCACCATACTCACTTGACCTTGCTCCTTCAGACATTTAGTTGTTCAGTTATCTTTAAGATAGACCTAATTCATTTTCAGATGTCACAAGTTTGATGAAAACAATAGTCAAGGAACTCAATTAGTTATCTGTTCGTGAATATAAAAAGACTTCCCAAAAGTGGATTGAAAGAAAGAAACTCTGCATCGAGCATCACGACGCTTACTTCGAACGTTTACTGTAGAGAATTCGACTGAATGCATCTTCATGAATAAACGTTTTAAAGTGGCAGAACTATTTGAATGGGGTCGGTGTGGGTGTGATCTACATTGAATGAACACTCACATCCACGCACCCACACCATTTTCTTCTGTACTTCGAATATGTGAGTCAGCTATTATAAGGACAAACATACTGTTATTCAAGTCATATGAAAGAGGGCCACGTATAACCTGTGATTGACCCAAACAATAGTATATTTTATCCTTACAATAGAAGAAAAAATCCTACTAAAATTTGATTGGCCATTGATCAACCGATCAGATTTGAGGAAGTTGTTTCCCTGCTATTGTAAGAACAAAACATAGTGTTGCTCGGGTTGATTAGGGGCTATCGGAGGTGCTCTTTCATATGACCCAAACAAGACTCTGCTTTGTCCTTAAAATAGCTGAGACACAGCTTCCTCAAATCTGATTGGTTGATCAACAGTCAATCAGATTTTAGTAGGATTTTTTCCTTTATTCTAAGGACAAAACATGGTGTTGTTCAGGCCGGTTAGGAATTATCCGTGACCCTCTTTTATATGACCCGAATTACAGTATGGTTTGTTGTTGCAATAGTTGACTCGCATATTGGAGGTGCAGAAGAAACCTCGCGCTCATATGAACGCTCATGAGTGTGAGTGTGAGCTTTACACCTCTATTCAACAAGAATGGTACTCAAAAATCTAATAACGTTCATGTTACCGTTTGAGCGCCTTCCATTTGATCCAATTTTTAATTCATGCATTAATTTGGCAATCGAATCTTCTTCACGACTCCAGTAATACATAAGTTCGAAAATGGAGTCCAATGATAAATGTGATAATTCGAAAAATGTTCCTTTTCGAATAGATCTTGTTCCCTGGCAACGATGACATCGAAAAGTGTATCCTAAAGATTCAAATTTTTAAATAAAGATTTTCGTTAGTTTTATTTACCATCCGTTAAACGTTTTAATCTTCCAAGATACCAATCATGATTATCAAATTCACCACATCGTTCTGTTACGTTAGGAATTCGCGGTAATAATTTTAAATCTTGCAAAAATGTAATTGTATTTTCTTGTGATGACAACAGATGATGAATTTTTCGTGAATTAAGTGTTTCAAGATTTGGTAAAACTAAGTTCAATGACATGTTGATAGTTTGATAGTACGATAATAGTGAATGTAAAACAATGTAACTCACAGCAACAAAACAGATATTTTATATATCGGTGTCTCATTTCCGTGACAAATTATTAGATCTTTGTTCTGTTTCTTATTATTATCCCCTATTTCATCTTAAAATTGGTCTACAAGTTTAAAAAACAATCGTACATTAATTAAGATATCGATGTTCTTTTTTTCGCCATGTACTACTGTCATCTATGATTGTCATTTATCTTCTTTCATTCTTTTTTTTTTCGTTCTTTCCGTTTTATTGGCTTCGCTCTTCAACCAATATTTTTTCTTTCCTGTTCTTTCCCGTGTCTAAAGTGAACAAGCTCCTATATAGTACGTACCCTCAGCTCGATGACTCATCGAATCAATAGCAAATCTTCACGGATTGGTACTTGCATTTTTGACATGGGAAAGAACAGGAAAGAAAAAATATTGGTTGAAGAGCGAAGCCAATAAAACGGAAAGAACGAAAAAAAAAAGAATGAAAGAAGATAAATNGCTTCGGATGGAGTCCAATAGATCGTGGGATGTCTCAAGGTCCGCTTTTCCTTTGTAAAGTAGACTAGTCATAGTTGTATAAATAGCACATGGTGCTCCCATTGATTCATCCAGAACATATTTTGAATTATGCATCCTTATTTTATGAATCTGGTTGATTTCCTTGCTTTTGTGGCTACGCAGAACATTAATCTATCTTCATAAATGATAATGAGTTCTAATGGATTCTGGTGGATCCTGATGGATCCTGGCGGGTCCTAATGGATCCTGATGGATCCCAGGATCCACCAGGATCCGCTTTTCCCCCCTTGCCTATTACACTTCTGCAGTCATTTTGTTTGTCACAAAAATTTACTCAAAGATCAAAATACATAGAGTAGCTATATAACTCTTCAATACAACATTTTGAAGTTCATACTTCTATACTTGTTTTAATATCATTAGTCTGTTTCTATGCTCTATTTATAGCCATTCCGTTGTCCGTCTATAATTCAGAAATTGATTTCTTGTTAGAAAATTTCTTTGAATATGTTTCGAGTACAATTTTATGTCCAATTTGTTATCTATAATCAAATAATCATAGTACGAACGCAAGGAATCGAATTCCAATGTTCAATACTTGCAAAGTATACTGTGCAATTGACATGAAATAAGCATTCTCTGTGTATACAGTAACATACAGAAAAGACTCACAAGTTTTCTTCTAAGTATGACAATAGTTTTAGTAGATAAATAAAAGATGAGTAATGCAAGAAGGAATTCATTCAATTTTCATCCGTAACGTTTCTCAAATTGGAATAATTGCTTCCTGTTAAGGCTTTTACTGAGGAAGTCATGTTTTAGTCTTGGTTTGAACATTTCCAAAGGTTAATTAAAGAAAAGAGAAAAAATTGATCAGAGTAGAAGATTACCTGTCCTTTTTTAAGACCCCATGTGCCGCCACCTTCTAGTTCAGTTACTGGATTTTGAACGAGGTACTGTCGAGGTCGAAATTCGACATGAGCACCAACAGCATCGCCCAATGCCATTCCTATCATCGAACCATGAATACGATCCATTATCACATGATCGACATGGTTAGGAGGATCTTCCATATCTCTTTCGATTTCATCGGGCTTCTTAATCGTTTCACCCTGGTTGGGTTGATGATTCAGCCATGATTTGTCTAAAGACATATAGATCTGTGAAGTAAATTGCTTAATGTAAGTATCCAATAGATAAAGTTTTTCTTTTTGTATTTAGAAGATCTTCATATCTTACCTGTTTTAAATTGACACGTGGGATGTCTTTTTGATTGTTGAGGGATTTCTAAAAAAAGAATTAGGTGAAATTATTGTTATAACCATGAAAACTATTAAATTAAAATCGTCAATTCGGCAAGAGAGAAAAGGGAAGAACTACGAGAAGATGATACATTTTTATATTGTGTATAAGTACCCAAGCAGTCAGAAAAGGTAAATTGACGCGTTATAACGCCCGTTTTGCGTTTTATCTTGTAACGCATTTTACACAGTCAAAAATGTCCAAATTTTGGCGTTTTAACGATCGCATTTTTTTCAGCTTTCACATCGTTAAAATGGTAGAAGAGACAAACGATTAAAACACATTTTCGAGATCAACGGTTTAAAACGAGTAAAATCGGATATTTTTGCCTGTGTACAACGCATTTAAACTGGGGAAGAATATATATAACCCACATACCTTAATATTACAAACAACATTAAAATACAGTATTTACTAATAAATAAGAGATGCCAGGTAACATCGGTTCGAAGAAAGTCGGAAGTTAAAGAGCATATAACAGTAGTGTAGTTTCATTTATTTTCAGAGAATAGGTTCATGGTCATGTAAATGTAAATATCGAGTGATAGCTATCTAGCAATTTTTTTTTTGTTTTATTTTATCTTCCAAATAATAAAAGAAAATTTACAAGAAAAGCTAACTCAAATGTTAAGGATCTCATGCATTCTAAATTTGAATTGTCGGATCTTGCTTATTTACTAGAAGATTTGTTCACTATTTGGAGGATAAAGAAAAATTTTAAATTTCGCTAGAAGACTATTGCTCGAGTATTTACAATTACATAGCCATGAATCTAATCTCTGAAAAGAATTGAAACTACACTACTGTTGTATGCTCTTTAACTCCTGACTTTCTTCGAATCGATGTTACTTCGTATGTCTTATTTACTAATAAACACTGAACTTTAATATTGTCTGTAATATGAAGGTATGTGAGTTATATCTATTCTTCCCTAGTTTTAGCCACAGTTCTTACTTATTGGATATATTTAAAAAGTTTTTCGAAACTAAATAATGAAGTAGAAAAACTGAAACGCACGTCACACACTATTTTTCTCTATAAGCACTATTCACTTAAATATATAGCACAATGAATCAAGTACCTAATATAGAAGTTTCTTTATTGCTACTCTAAATATATTTGGTAATGCCTTTTCATATTTAGAAAGTATATGTTGTGGTCAAAATTTTAATTCTTTTTTGAATGAAAAGAATAAGGTAAAATTTCGACAACAAAATGTATGGATGTGGGTGAAGGTGCTTGGTTTTGAAGGTTGTGAGTGTAGGTAGGTGTGACAGGAGCAAGGCTCTAGGGTTACCATTTTGCTATTAATTTATATAAATTTAAATCATCGGCAATCAAGTTTAAAACAAATTAAATTTTATTCATAATTTAAATTTAAAAATAAATTTAAATTATCAGAATTTATATTTAAAATAAATTTTGCTTTAGACAATTTAAATTTATTTTTAACTTTTAAATTATGAAAAAAAAATTAAATTTACTTTAAATGCAAATTATGAGAAAAATAGCCTAAATTTATATTAAATTTAAATTACCGATNTCTGTTATATCATTAAGAGATATTGATTCTAATCGCTTTGTCAATAACAATGAAAAATATTTTTATTGCAAATAAAAAAAAAAAAGAATCATTGTAATTGTAAGAACAATCGTAGAATTTCATCAACCGAAAAAACATTTTTCTTTTGGTTGATAGCACAGAAGTTTATGTGTAAATATACTTATGGTAATGTTAATAAGAATTTGTCAAGTTGAAAAAAAGAAAGATTTTTGTTTTAAGAATTGTTTTTTGTTTTAATGTATCTGGAAAGAATCTCGAAAATAATCTTTTGATGTGTTCAGTCAATATCTGAACATTTCTGCAATATGAGTACTTGTATTTATTATCATAACCCAAGCAGTCAAAAAAGTTAAATTGACGCGTTATAACGACCGTTTTGTGTTTTATCTTGTAACGCATTTTACACAGTCAAAAATGTCCGAATTTTGGCGTTTTAACAATCGCATTTTTTTCAGCTTTCACATCGTTAAAATGGTAGAAGAGACAAACGATTAAAACGCGTAAAATCGGACATTTTTGACTGTGTACAACGCATTTAAACTAGGGAAGAATGGATATAACTCACATATCTTAATATTACAAACAACATTAAAATGCAGTATTTACTAATAAATAAGAGATACCAGGTAACATCGGTTCGAAGAAAGTCGAAAGTTAAAGAGCATATAACAGTGGTGTAGTTTCATTTCTTTTCAGAGAATAGGTTCATGGTCATGTAAATATCGAGTGATAGCTGTCTAGCAATTTTTTTTTGTTTTATTTTATCTTCCAAATCATAAAAAAAAATTACAAGAAAAGCTAACTCAAGTGTTAAGGATCTCATGCATTCTAAATTGAAATTGTCGAATCTTGCTTATTCACTAGAAGATTTTTTCACTATTTGGAAGACAAAGTAAAATGTTAAATTTCGCTAGAAGACTATTACTCGATTATTTACAATTACATGACCATGAATCTAATCTCTGAAAAGAAATGAAACTACACTACTGTTTTATGCTCTTTAACTTCTGACTTTCTTCGAATCGATGCTACTTGGTATGTCTTATTTACTAGTAAACACTGAACTTTAATATTGTCTGTAATATGAAGGTATGTGAGTTATATCTATTCTTCCCTAGTCTTAGCCACAGTTCTTACTTATTGGATCTATTTAAAAAGTTTTTTGAAACTAAATAATGAAGTAGAAAAAATGAAGCACACGTCACACACTATTTTTCTCTATAAGCACTATTCACCTAAATATATAGCACAATGAATCAAGTACCTAATATAAAAGTTTCTTTTTTTGCTACTCTAAATATATTTGGTAATGCCTTTTCATATTTGGAAAGTATATGTTGTGGTCAAAATTAAAATTCTTTTTTCAATGAAACGAATAAGGTAAAATTTCGACCCCAAAATGTATGGATGTCGGTGAGGGTGCTTGGTTTTGAAGGGTGTGAGTGTAGGTAGGTGTGAAAGGAGCAAGGCTCTAGGGTTACCATCTTGCTATTAATTTATATAAATTTATTTTTAACTTTTAAATTATGAAAAAAAATTAAATTTACTTTAAATGCAAATTATGAGAAAAATAGCCTAAATTTATTTTAAATTTAAATTACCGATAATTTAATTTACGCAGTAATTAAATTGAAAGTAAATATAAATTGACACTCCTACAAGGCGCCTATTGCACCCACACTCATATAATATTTGTTAATAATTTTTTTGAAATCAAAAAGTTGTCGCTACTTTGGCTTTTG